AAACTGTCAGTCAATGATCTTCATTCAAAAGATTGTTCTGTGCTCGCTCAGTGTCAGGTAGATAAGCGATGGTCAATCGGCAAGTAACCTGGTGCTAGGATGACTTCCAGTTTAAGCCAAGTGTTGCATCTTTACTTCATGCGGTGAGAATGGATCTCAGCGGACATATCATTTTCCACTACACACATATTGCCAGTGAGGCTACCTGTCAGTGACTACCTGGAATGGATTTCGTGAGCCAACAACCAACTAAGTTCAATCATGTGAAAAATACTTGGAACCGATTTAATAGTCATCGTTTTCGAAAAGTTTGGTGACAATCGATAGATTTATTGCTGGGCAACGTTTCGCTTTTGACACAAAAGCTTCGTCAGGCCAAGTGACTAGGTTCCGAGGTTAGCACTAGCTCATCCACACAGACTAACAGAAGGTTCAAACGACTTTCAAGAGGGACCATCAGATGAGCCTAACCAGAAGAACGAGACCCTAGGCTGGACCAAAACACATGTAAGTTTCCCCACCGACCCAACACTTGTTCACCCACCCTAACACGCAAAAATCCGTCGACCGACACCCAACAGAGGATTAGCTTGACTTTGCTGATTGGTTCTCCTTTCGCCTTAAATCTCGACCAACGTCTCACTTGGCTTGACGAAGCTTTTGTGTCAAAAGCGAAACGTTCCCCAGCAATAAATCTACCGATTGTCACCAATTTTTTTCGAAAACCAAGTTATTGAAAATTTTTTCCAACACAGACATTTAAATGATTTCTTAGTATTCTTGAAAAAATAATCTATTAAAAAGATCGTTCAGCTGTAGCACCCTTTGGGTGCCTAGCTACCATCTCACCAGAAGGAAACACAAGAGTTTGGATACCACCAGTTTACCTAAGCCTAGACAGGGAAATTCGAGAGGTAGAGGTCGGGTTCGGACCATGAACCTTCCGGTCAGTAAATTCGCACTCTAACCATTGAGCCATCTCGCCCCCAAAGGCAACCGAACTGCGGACCCTGTGTTCCAACCAGAAAACCATGCAGCTGTAGTTATCACCCGACGATCCCAAAACCGCACCACAGTGATTCCATAATTTTCACTAGAACACAACTCAAATGGCCTAGGAGCATCACTAACAAACAACGAACCCAAGTTATCCCACGATTTTGGTATCTATGGCCTTGTTTTCATCTTTTACCATCTGTTCTATTAATCATACTAGAATCAGATAAGCAATATGCAGCTGAACGGCTAGAGGCAAGATGACAGCGAAAATGGCGCAGCCGTCAGGTAAGTGTAGGAGAAGACGGATATGATGAAAACGTACCCAGATAAGCTCTCACATCATCATCGTCGGTCTTGAACAGATACTGAAGGGCCATATCCATATTGAATAAACTTGACTCGAACAGGCGCAGCAGCCAGGAAGATTTCCCCGTGGCTGAGTGTTGTTCAGCATTCCCATCTGGTTCCACTTCAGTGGAGGAATTCTCTTGTGTTCCAATCGTCGGCTCACTGTCTGAGGTAGGAGAACTCACAGTCAGGTCTGTCTGACCATCAGAGGAAGGAGAAACAGGACGCACAGATTGCCCGGGCTGGGATTTCTTGAACCGAAATAAACCGCTAATGTGTCTTGATGGCTTTTTCGCTTTCATTGAGCTTCGTTCTATGCACACAGAAAAAAGAGCTTGGCAATTAGTTAACTGTGACTAACTAACGAATTGGACGAAAAAGCGAAACATAAAAATATGAGAGCAATAGAATGAGAAAAGTATAAACCAATGAGGGTAGTCGTTTGATGGTCAAAAACAGCATATTTGAAGGAGGAAGGGCATTTCTCGTTCGGGGCCCAAATGATGGAGGTGTCTCCTCAAGGGAAAAATGGACAATTTGCATCGCCAGACGGGTCAGTAATAACCATTCAGTTCTCCTCGGGGCCAAACTTAGATTTAGTAGACGATAGGTACCAAAAACCGCTGAGGGCTGCTGTCCGAATGAGTCGTGCTAACTATTTTTCTCTCACTAACAGCCGCGGTGAGAGCGGTCGAAATATGATGTTATTCCACAGTTTTCGGGAAACATTCACAGGATTAATCGTTGCCCAACATTCAGAGGGCGAACCATCACATGCTAGATATACTGTCCTTCAGATTCACTTGGGCAAAAACGGTGACGCTAATTCCAGAATTGCATTCACTTACCTAGCGCGAGCGGGTATAAATGCTAAAATCCATTCAGTCTGCACTTCACCAGTGTTGCCTGAAAATTATCGAGCCAGATACCGCAAAAGTCCGATAGAGCAGTGTCGAAATCTAGCGACAACCGGATGTGGTCCTGAAAGTAACTAAACGAAGAACTGGCATTGCCGACCACATATAACCCCATCATCCATAGTTGTTGCCAACTGAACTGTGCGGGCTATATATGACCTGACCTTGGTATGGAGTTCTGGCAACCTCAGCTCCAATCGTTACTCAGACTAGGTGAACCATTTTAACCAGAATTATCGCATCATGCTTGTTGAGTGAACAAAGCAGTGGGTTGTAAGCTAGTCCTCGATATGGTCATGCACCTGTAGGTTTGCACACGGAATTGGCGTGTGCTCATTCAAACTCTTGCAACCCAAGCTGAGTTACCTTCGTCTGCACGAAAAGCCCTGGTCGACCAATGTACTTACCCTTTAAGGACAAACACCTGACGACCTCCCTCGATAAAAACGCGCGCTATCTATGCGGTTTATGATGCGATTATCATCCAGCAATCTGGAGTTCTGCAACGCAACTACTTACCATACTAGCTCAACTTACTGCATACTAAGTGGTCGGTGACCTGCGCATAGGGCACACAAAATCTTGGAGGGGATTCAATAAGCGTAACGCCACTTAACATCACAGTACGCAGTTAGGCGTTGAAACAATGCGGAACAACAAAAAGCATAAGGCCAGTTAAGCGTTCAAAAAACGGGGCTGGAAAATCTGTACACGACCAGTCCTATCTTCAGTGCAATACAACTTATCAATCCTGAAAAATATGTTATTTAAAAAACCATCCCCTTTGTGGATTTGAATTCGCCCGATAGATTTGGTGAGTTAGGACTGAAAGCCTCGGAAAAACCGCCGTTACCTACCAGGTGAGTGATCGGGTAGACCGACTATCAGCATTATCAATTGATTTGAATGTCAGCTGTCCCGAAGAATTTTGGGCACAGAAACGTCTGGAATACCCCACGAAACTGTTTGTTCCACCATGCAGTGATAGATTGTGACTCAATATTTCGATAACCGTGTGCACCCTATTGGGAAGTGGTCTGTACACAAGAAGAATGGTCTCGCCCAGCCTCAGCACACACGACACTGTCAAAGTTCTTTATCCTCACCAATTCGAAGAAATTTGAAGTAAATTAGAATGATCGGTGTCAAATCAATTCAACCGACAGGGCTGACAATCAAGTGGCACGAAACTTGCTATGGGAGGACGTCATCATGTAATTATCATGTAATTATCATCAGTAATTATTTACCATTTTCGTGCCTATCTGTCATGCCACATAGAGGAAACACCTGTCCAAGCACAGACAGGAACAGTCGAGATGCCGGGATCGAGTTCGAAATACGGACCGTCCGGTTAATGAGTCATCATCATCATCATCACCGACAGCATGACATCAATCATCAACACGGAT